ACGATTATATTATTCTGTACTGTCCATATGGAAGGCTTGTAAAGATGAGCAATATCAGTTGCCAAATCATAAAAATTCCATAAATTTTTTATTAATTACAGAAATATGACACAAAGTAATGAATACCCAGTAAGAAACTATATTTGTGCATATTTGCCAATTACTATTCACAGTATTCAATTCATATTTTTCTTAACCTTGGTTCTAAAATAGTAAAAAACAACAATTTAAAATATGAATGGCACAGTATAAAAATACAAAAAAATGAGAGAAGTTGTAACTTTTAGTTTGTCCCAAGCACATACCTTAAAATGTGAAAATGTAAACTAAAATTCCCAAATGATGTGAGATTATAGAATTGATATCACAGTGCCTGTATGCACTGTTTAGTAACCGAGGATACTGCTTCACTTTGAGCATTTTAACCAGTGTAAGAATTTGAGTTGCATTACGACTGTTCTAAGTAAAGCAAAATACAGTATAAGAAAACACTGAGGCTGCCAAATGGGATCAAACCCACATCACTGGATTTCCCAGGCACATGATTTCCTAGAATCAATAGTTTGATCCCATCCAATGGCCTCAATATTTTCTCCTAGATACATTATGTTCTGACACTTTCATTGTGCTCTATACAGTACATTTATGCAAGAGCAGTAAACAACTTTATACACCTCACTACCACCACTCAGCACATTGTTGCACTATTTTCAACAGAAGAGCATGACTCTAATACAGGTAGAAATCACCTTTAAAACCTAAATGACAATTGTAACCTTAACTGACTTGACTACTTGAGTTAAGAACTCAGAGCACAACCTATGTATATTGGATTAATTAATACTTAAGTTTGATACCTTGCGGATAATCCAAATTGAATACCTAATGATAAAGGTATCAAATGAATGCTCAAATGCATCTTGATAGCCATTGAATGCTCAAATGCATCTTGATAGCCATTCAATCTTAGTCAGTGGCATTGTTGAAACAATGGAAGCTCCCTAAACATCAATGCTCTGCATATAATAAGTACTTGTACTGTCAAGCCTGAAATACACTAGCTTTGTGTAAACATTTTCCAGATGACAATATTAAAAGAATGCTCAGGGTTTCTATTCACTCTACCCATCCTGTACACACACATGCAGTGACAACACTGCTTTACGAAGTTAATTATATTTCTATATACAGTACAAATATTTTATAAATTACACACATTAATCATGCACATGGAATGAAATAGTTCATTGAAATTCCTCAAATATATCAGTTTAAGAATGGCATGGCTATTATTTAATGTAAAGCATTTACAGGTAACAAAATTATTGCTGAAAATGATAAATACAGTTCTAATATCATCAGTACTAATGCTGACATTAGCAGCAATATTACGGTAATATTAACACTTTAGTGTTCAGAGGGCTGTGTCCACTTTCTGTTGAAAGTTAACTACCCCATCCAGTAATTCTTCAATTCATTCTACATAAGATGGACAATATAAAAGTGATTACAAACTTTTGTAAACTCAGCAGCACCTCGCACAACTGACATTGGTTCCCTATTACTTCTCTCAGCAGTGTTTTACACACCAGACATCGATACTCAAGGTCATTCGTTTCCAAAAATTGGAATACCAAAATAAGCTGTAAACCTATACAGTAAATAGCTTTACAAATAGAAAAATTATAAATATTTTGATGCCAGACTGAGCAAGTGGTCACAAACAGCAGGTCAGACAGGGTCATAAAGGGGTAGCTCAGTTGGCGAACATACCCCTCCTCCCCAAAACAAAAAAGTGTTAATATTATTGTATGACCAACCATACACACGCAACTAAGCCCCTATTGATGTTGGTTGACCTATATGAACTCAAGTCTAGTAGCTCAATTATGTACCAACACACTTCAAACATACATATATATACACACACAGACACCCATACATATATACATATGTATGGGTGTGTTGGGTAAGCAACATATATTTAAAATACGGTAAATTTCTCAGTATTATCACTGAATATTATGTTCCATTTCAAGAACATTTCAATCCATGTCACATGCCACTATGTAAATATTATCACAGCCCTATTTAATCCATTTAATCCAAAAGCAATTTCCAAGATAACTTTGTCACATAAACGGATAAATTATGAAAATATTGAAGACCTATGCAGGATACTTGCATTGGTTTATTTACATACAGTGTGCTCATGCTAGAATATGGATATCCACGTCTAATCATACTAATAATCATGACAGAACTTATAAATTATAAAGCTCAAACAGTTTAACCATCAAAATTATAATTTAATTCATTTGCCAAATGTTAAATAATGTAGGAATTACATTCACAATATTTTTTAACACACATGCAAACATATACTGTATTTAATAACAAAATTTCTACCTTGAAATAATTGTTTGATGAAATGGCAACAATATGCCTGTAATTTTCTAAAATACTGATAACAAAAGTGCAAACAAAGTTAAAGAACAGTACTACAGTAGACTCCCAACACTGCAAGCAGAGATTTAAAGCAGTAAGTTTCTACAGCAGAAAAATCCTTAAACCATTTTTCAGTTTATTGCAGTCAACATTCAGTTTTAAGAGTTTGTACTTTGATGTGAGCCATCAGTATCCCGAAATGAAAATAAGCCAAACTCGAAACGATAGCCAGACCAAGGAATTCTTTTTTTAAATTTAATCAATGGCTTTAATATAGTGATGCATACAATCACTTACTGTACAGGAATAGCAAAGGCAATACAATTTATACCATCTCATTTCCCACACTCTGTCCTATGAGCCAAAAATAAAGAGAGAACCATACTACAATATACAATGTTTTCAATCGCAGCCACGATATTTCCCACGAGCCAACTCTAAAATACTACTTAACTTAAAGAAACCTACCTGAGCTAAGATCTTTATTATATACAATTAGTTTGGCATTCTTTTTACTGACTTTTCTTTGCTTTTGAATACATTTCATATGAGAAATAAAAAGTAAAATTTTTCTTCTGTATTTGGTCCTGGCTCCCAACACACTATAATGTAGAAGAAACACCGAGCTATACAGGCCAAAATGAATGTAAAAATATATTTTTTATTTAGTATTTTCTATACTTCTGAAAACAGATATTCCACTTCGCAAGAAAAACTTTTTTTTTTTTTTGCTCACAATCAGGGTGGCAATTCTGATACCTGCACTTTGAGGGTTAGCTACACCTGATGGCTTTCCCAAGACCCGTAAATCTTAACATTGGCATTAGGGAAGGTGGCTAAGGGTAGAGACAGGATATGGTGTTTTTTTTTTGTTTTTGTTTTTTTAAATTGAAAGTTGAACATTTTGAACTCAATTTTGTAAAGTTGAACTCTTACGATCACTATCCATCGGATGAACCTTACATTGTTCATGCACCCACATTGTTTTTAATCTAATTTGTGGTCTTTCCCATGGCTCGACCCAAGCTCAGATCTGAAGATTTTTTACCCCACAATAAATTATGATTTGTACTGTGTTAGTAAACTTTAAAACTTATACTGAAAAGCATTACATTGCTTATGTTGTACTTTTAATAAGCTTTATAAAATTTCACTGTTTATATATTATTTTCTGTTATGTACAATGATAAAAGTCCTGATTCTGGAATGCATCTTATATTCCTGCAAGATCCTTAACAAAATACTATGTGAGGATCCTTTTAACATGCACACTCAAGAAATGCACCTCACCACAAAATTGGGAGTCTACTGTAGTGTATAAAGCATGCATGATGCAAAATTCTCTCTTCCTTGGATATATATATAAATAATATTTGTTATTCACTATCAGCACATACATTTTCATTGCAAAAATATTTGTGCAAGGCATATTACATAAGCAAGTACACATTTCTATCAATCTATTGCCTTAATGTTCAACTCCCATTCGGGAGCCTCCCATTAGTGGGAGGCAACATCAGAAAATCTTTGCAGGCGATGCGATCACCACACACATTTGGTTTTCATTTTTATGTTTTTTGACCCTTCCTTCTTACCCTTTCTTTTATTTGTTGTTCCATTATTACAAGATACTGGTTGTCCTCTATGAAACGGTCCCCTCATACATCCTTCTCATTATAAGTCTCAGCCACCCCCTATTAACACATATACATCAGTGTATAGTACTGTAATGCAGTTTACCCACTCCACAAATCGATACTTCATTCCCTTACCCGTTCCACTCACACAACAACTCCCATATACGTCCTCATTTCTATGCCACTCCCACATTCATTTACAAGCTGCTTTTCTAAAAAATCTAATTTCCAATCCTTATACACTTTAGTACTTTGCCCCCTTTCCACACCCAAGATTCACTTACTTATGTCCAGTTGGGAAGTAGCATACTCTCTTTCAGTCCTTTCCTAACACTCGTACTACCATTCCTTTCTTTCATTATATTATTCACCATGCTATACTATCTGACATACATTTAATATTAAAAACCACCATCACATCACCTATTAAACCTCAATATATCCACAGTTATTTCATTTATATCCAGAGCTTTTTCTCTCTAACATATTCTTATTATGCCTCAATCGATTGATTGATTGATGAAGATTAAGCCACCCAAAAGGTGGCACGGGCATGAATAGCCCGTAAGTGGTGGCCCTTTTAAGCCATTACCAGTATCAAGAGCTGATACTGGAGATCTGTGGAGGTGCGAATGCACCCTGCATGACGGGAGATGTCTCCTTTGTGAATGTGTTAAGATGAAGATGAAGCCACCCAAAAGGTGGCACGGGCATAAATAGCTCGTAAGTGGTGGCCCTTTTGAGCCATCACCAGTATCAATAGATGATACTGGAGATTTGTGGAGGTGCGACTGCACCCTGCGTAACGGGAGATGTCTCCCTGCCTCAATCCATCCTCCTCTATTCCACTCTATTCCACTGGTCAACAACTCGGTTCATTTAAAAAATATTAAAAAATATTGTTAAAGCCTTTTCTTCACTGATGTATTTATTCTTCATAAAATATTCATTCTATCAACTGATAACATCACACATATCTGTCGACATAGCCACCCCAACCCCCTCAACATCCTTCCCTCTATTGACTTCTCCCTTTACTCCACTATGACGTTCTTTATCGTTTCAGTAAAATAATTTCTTAGTTCTTACAAATATCTCATTTGACTTTCTCCCAAACTCTCCATCCATTACCTTATTTTCATTCCTATCCATTTTCCTTACAATCTTTTGCAATTATTATACATTTATGCTCCATCACCTTTCCTTCCTAAAAAAAAATTAAATAATCATATTTACATACCCTCTGTAGACAATAACAAACATATTATTTCATATGTATTCAATTCAAAATACAAACCATGTTAATTCCTTTCATGTTAGTTACCAAGGATGCCTGTTTAAAAATGTTATTTATAAAGATTAGAAGAAAAGCATAACCAAACAAATTCTTAACATGCCAGTAACATATATTTTACTAGTCAAAATTTTATTTTTGCTTAACACTAAGCAAATTTGGCTAACCCCTTCCATGCATAATCTTAATTTGAACAATGACAAAATTGACTTTTATATACTGTATACTGTACAGTATCATGTTTCACATTTTTAGAATTATAAGAAATTTTGATACTGTAATCAAAACAGGAAATTTAAAATTGAATACAAAATTAAAAAATTGTAATAAAGAAATTTTAAAATTCAAAACAAGAAATGTTAACATTTAAAACGATGTATTAGAACAAAACATTAGAATATAATAAAGATAAACGAGGTTATGTAAACATACAGAGATTATATTTATTATATCACTAAATATGAGCAACGTGTGTGATACAGCACAACAAAAGGTTTGTGAATTGCTAAATATGCCCACCACCGCAACAAAGTCGATAAATTCATGCCTAGCTTAGTGCAGTGAAGCGGACTAACTTCCATTTCCAGTCCATCCAGATAAACGTCTCAAAATATATATCAGGCCAGTGCTTCCAAATTTGTAAAATATACTGCAAAGCCTAATATCCAGACTGGCATGTGTAAGATAACAGGTACTGTACTGTCTTCTCAACAGTAGTATTACAAAGCTTAGACCATCTGATGAAAATAAAATCATCTATGGTGTCCATTTTGTTATGGCACCGTGTCTGCTGCACAAACAAATTACTCTTCATACATTAGGTAATGTATCTAACATACATTAAGGTGGCGTATCTAACATACGTTAAGGATGCATATCTAACATACATTAAGGTGGTGTATCTAACATACGCTAAGGTGGCGTATCTAACATACATTACGGCTACGTATCTTACATTAAGGTGGTGTATCTAACATACACTAAGGTGTTGTATCCAACATATGTTAATTAAGGTGGCATGTCTAACATACAATTCAAGTTCTCTACAGTATTTTGATTACTTCTCAACAGACAATACATTTTTATCTTACTTTATTTTGAAATTGTAATAGAAACTAATACTGCTAAATCCTTCTATAGAAAATAATACATCTTGGTCAAAAAGCCAAGTATATCTAATATTTTAAAGTACTTGAAACTTGCTGATGGTTGGGTAAAATTTCTCACTGAAATTGACTACTGTACATACCGTGTCTTCCACCAATTGGGAGGAGTTACTGAGAATCTGCTATTTCTAATCAATAGTAAAAAAGCATTTTCATGGAAATTGGTAAAAAAACTACATTAAATCTACAAATGTTTTTAACCCATCAAAAACAAGAGAAAAACTAAAAATGTTTGTATAACCCTTGGATGTTTATCTATGTGGATCACAGACAGAAATATAATCTAATTAGATATGTAAAGAAATTATGTCTTTATACCAGAAGAGCTCTGGACCTTGTGAGAAGAGCAGGCTCATTCTAGTACAGAATGAACATCTGTAACAATTGTAAAACACATTTCTTCTATGTAACTATATATTATCTATATTGTTATAAATAACATGCGTGTATAATAATAATAAGTCACAACACTAATGCAACGTACTGAAATACGCAAATGAAACTTTTCAAGTTATCTCAAATATATTTAAATGAGTTACAGTACTTTCATTAATTTATAAGCATTAATATTACCTTAAACATTTGAAATAAAACAATAGGCAACAAATTAATTAATAAACTGCCAAGACACACCCCCATGAAGTGGAGAAGTGTTCTGCACATGAATCATGCATAGAAGAGGTTAATATGTACCACTTAACCCAGGTGACCAGAGTACCTATTCATTATACAATCATTTGCTATGGCATCTCCCCTTTATCCATCCTAAACTATTTGAAGCCATAACATGGGGCAACTGCGCACACAAGCGTTGAACAGTTCTCCTATAAAACAGTACTGTATAAAAGACATTGTAACAAACACCCACCTTGCAGGCCAAACTGCCTATGTTACTTGTCTCCATCACTTGGCTCCAGGGGTCAACTTGACTCTTCCATATTTGTAGTATCACAAAAACTCTCACTAGGATTCTCCACAAGTTCCGTAGCTTTGTTCAGCAGTACTTGCACATCCACAGGTGGGTAATTCTGGCAGGGAAAGAATAATATGAAGATATTAATATGTTTAATAAGTCTCGTTAACTTCCTAATAACTTAAAAACATAGAATTGAAGAATGTGCAAAAGTCCTTTTTGGCTTATGCAAGGCAATACCTGTGTATATCCAACCATACCCACTAATATTTATACCTAACCTTCATTTGCAACAATCCAGTGACTCGACCTCTGATCTGGTGAAAATAATTCAGAGGTGTAGTAGAGACCATGACTTGGGTACCTTACCACTTCTGTTTCACCAGTTTTCTGTATATTTTTTGTTATAATTGTTTGATAAAATGTTTATAAAATAATATATCATATCTGAATTTGTCCTAAAGCTTTTACATATTTTGTGAATTCAGTATATGGAATAGAGTGGGTTGCCTCTTGGCAATGCATCCGATGTTTAGGCACAGCTGCGGTTTCAAAGAATAAATCCCAGAAAATTCAAACACAGTACGTTACACAGTAGTGAGAACAATTTACTGGACTAGAAACTGTGCAGATATGGTGGGAGCGCACTTTTGAACAATTCGTTCTAGCAGTTGCACGTTCGGGTCGCAGTGAGCGTTTAAGTTTGATTTGTGTGACTTTTGCTTTACATCAGTTCTTACAGGATCTTGAGCCCTATCCAAATCAGTGGTCGCTTCTATCATACTATTGTTTCCTAGAGAAAGTTAAATAACAGCTCTACACTTTCATTACCAAACCACTATCTAGAAATTGTTAACAACTGCTTCAAGTCTCATTCCATAGTTTTTAACACTTACAGGCAACTAAGTATTTGAGGAAGATTGTACATGAGGGCATCCTACTAGGAAGCTCTGAGGAAACAAGGTGTCAAAATAAAGAGTTAATTCAATAAACAAAAAATGGGGTTTACAATTTCTTTCTAACAGCAACACCAATTTATCTCAGATTCGTACTACATCATCTGAATTTTATTTTAAGATTTTATATAGATAACTTACTTGAAGAATTTTCATGTTGGAAGCAAAGTCATTCTGCATCATGACATCCCTCTGCAACCTGAGAAATACAAGAAAATTCATTATTTTATTAGGCTTTTTCTGACATACATACATACACACATACATATATATATATACATGCACACACAGGCAGGCCCAAAGAGCTAAAGCTCAACCCCTGCAAGCATAACTAGATGAGTACATACATACATCCATCCATCGGACATTTACCAAATAATTAATATCACTTGAAAATTTTAAATATCAAATATTTCATCCAAAGACCAAACAAAACATTTCAATGCACTCAGGTTTTAAACATTATTTTATTTCAATCTAAGCCATGAATTGGAAGATGTAACGTACACCATCATTGCTGTGCAAACTTGGATCAAATAAGTAAAGCGGTTGGCATCAGCAAAGAGCGAGTCCCAGACACGGATCACATCTGGAAGGTCAAACTCTTGAGACAAGAGAAGCGTCAGCCATCTGAAAACCACAAACAGAATCAGGCTTTGTCTCACTACGTTTTCTCAAAATAATTGTCCATAAGATGCAGATATATGAAAGATTTATGACATTACAGTTGCTAAGTATGTTAACTTAATTTTCTATGAAAGAGAACGTATCAGTCTGAAACTTGTATACATTACTGAGCATGTATATACTGTACATATATTATCATTACCCCATTTCTCATTTTCACAGGGTACAGTGACATCAGTCTGGGGAGTTAAAAAAGACAAGCCAAAGTCTATATAATATATTTTAAAACTAAATCAAATTATGGTTAAACTGCATATAAAATCAGTAAGACTGAGGTCTACCCACTTTCCAAATTTGGTAAAAAAAATTCTGGATAACAAAGTGTACCTTCCCAAACTAGAAAAATACTCGTTTCACATCCAAACACTCGTTCCAATTCTGCACAGGTTCAATAAATACTGTAGCCTAAAAGAATGATGCAATTTAACTATACTGCACCTAAAGCTGAAGAATTGAGGTTGTAGCTCTTGGACTCTGAGACGATTCCACAGCTGATGGTCATGCTGTCTGAGGTTGGACATCAGCCGCGCCATCATGGCACCAATCCCACTCTCACTGTCATCAAGGGTTCGGATGAAGAAGTCACGTATCTCGCCCATCAACGAGATGAAGGACCAAAAACAATCCGCCTCAGCATTTTCTTTAATAGACAATATCATATTCAGAAGTTTGGCATAGTTTGTGCCAAATTATGATATAATCTTTACTCTGGAAAAGTAAATTATTGTATTAACAATTTTGAAAACCCAAATAGACCAATACTGTAATCTAGACTTGACAATTTGTAAAAAAAAAAATCAGGATGAGACATTTATAATTATTGAACTATGAAATTTCTTTAATTGTGGAAACTTTAAACTTGGTATAAGGCAACAAAATACTATACACAACAGCATGTAAAAAATAAACCCAGCTTGCCTTATGAAGGTGATGGTTCAAGAGTTAGTGAAGATTACCATAAAATAATAAAAATAACTACAGTGGAACCCCAGTTTACAAATATTTTTTTCAGCCTCACTTTACAAATTTTTCGGTTTACGAGCTCAATTTCTCTGAAAAATTTGACTTGGTTTATGAGCTTTGCCTCGCTTGGCGAGCTTACTGATACATGTATGGGGCAATCAAGTGCGGGGTTCCTGGTGGTAGGGGTAAGGCGCGCTTCAGTTTACCAGTGCCTCACACCTAGTGACGATTGCGCTAGAATTCTTTGTAAAGAATTGAATTTTTTCATTTTTTTTTGGTTTATGAACATAAAAGTAATTATTATATATCACGCCATGGATCCCAAGAAAGTCAGTGGTAAGGTTCAACCTAAGAAAACAAATGTGAGGATGACGATAGAGGAAAAACACGAGATCATTCATAGTAAAACAATATGATGTCTCACTACAGACAACTGTTAAAATGTAGGGAAAAACCAGTGTCTATAGACAGATTCTTAGTAAGACAAGCAAGCAGTGAGCCACAACTTGGCCCTAGTGGTACTTCTATATTATATATTGAAACAATACAGTGCAGCCTCGGTTCAATGAAATATATGGGACCAACCCTAATTCAATGCAGTGAGGTATTTATTGCAACTGGAGATGCCTCCAGTGCATTTCCCACGTCTTACGGGCTAATTTCACTTGGCAAAATTTTAATTTCAACCTATAATGTGATAGACAACTACCAAATGAAAATGCCTATAAAGAAATTTAACCACATTTAGCTATTTCTCATATCCCCAGCCTCAAATCTCACTTTCAAAAGGAAGCAGGGCCATTCCCGAGTGAATGAAAACATTGCCAACTCAAAATGAAAAATCACAGATTTTAATTTAAATATCCTCAATAGCTTTCCCAAGGTTCCAACTGTTTCATGTAATATTGTATCTATCTATGAAAATCATTAAAAATGTGACTGGAGCCATATTAAGAGTTACCATTCATACCCTAATATTTCTCAAGCTCTGTGGGGTGATTTCACAGTGAAATTTTAATTTCAACCTGTCATATGAAGGACAACTACCAAGAGAACCTGTCTGTAAAGAGATGTAATCACATCTAGCATATTTCCCATGCCCATGCCTCAAAATCTCCTTTTCAAAGGAAAAAGGGCAAATATTTTACCGAATGAAAATCCCTCTGCCACTGAAAATAAAAAAAATGTAGAATTTGGTTTTAAATATGCTCAATGGCTTTTCCAAGGCCTGAACTGTTTCTTGTAATGTTGCCTCCATTTGTGAACTCTGTCCCAATAAACTAATCAAATCCATGCATCCCCTGCTTCAGCAAATTCGTTTGTCTAATCAGGCGAGTAAATCCAGCCTGGAAAGTGTTCTAACTTTAGATTCACCAAACTGCAGTTCACTGAATTGAGGTTTCATTGTATAGGAAGAGTCACCTCTTAAATAATGAGCAAACACTAAAGAAAAAATAAATTATTCATTCAATTTTAGTTTATATCTCCCATTTATTATTTGATGGAGAATAAGCCCTCCCCTTCCCCTAGAACATGCATAATTAGACCAAAATACTCTCATAAACATCAATATATTTGACGATACATGGTGTGTGTGTGTGTGTGTGTTCCTTAGTGTTTGTTTCAGTGATACACAAATATCACTATGTACTTTGGGCTGAAATCTAACGAGATAATAACTCAAGGGATACCATGAAGAAACATCTAATGTCAGAAATTTCCATTTTTTGATCTTGGAAGTTTGGAAATTAACCGTGTTATTATTGCAACTGCTACAGCTGATTTTAGCCCAATAATATATTACCGAATTTTCATAATATCAATGAACATTTTTCTTATTTTTGTATTAATGTAATTCACCAGTTGTTCACTATTCACCTGAAATGCTGCACAGTACCAAGTATAGGCTTTGCAAAATACTACGCACTTTTACCTTTTCTGAAAATTACCCTATTCTATACAATAGTGTGCTGTAATTTATATCAATGTAGTATATTTTTGTAATTAAAAGGGTGTAATTGCCAAAATGCAAATATGTGCATAAGCAGAGCATATGCACATAAGGAAGAATTTTACATTAACCATCCTTTAAGCAAATACAAAAATTAATGTGTTACTCAATATGTAACATATTAATGTAAATACATGTTTTGATGAAATACTGAACACTAACAAAATAAATGCGTAACAATTATATTACTCTTAATATAGTTGCTACAGTTCAATATGGACCAAGATTACTGTACTTGATTTTAGGTTAAATTGCACAAAATTTAACCTAAAAGTGTCTGCACAGAGACAAATATACACAAAGTGACAAAGGGAAAAATGAAGAGAACAGTTATTAAAATAGCCAACCAGAAGAGAAGTTTCGTCCACCGTTGCAGTCATACCTTCGTGATACCAAGCCCCTTTCTTGTAACAGAAGAGGCAGATAAGGAGGAATGGGTGACTCGACGGTGAAGTCTCTCCACCTCAGGATCGTCCACTATCAATTTACAAGGAAACTCAGTCCCACGCTGAAAGAACATTATATCTGGACAAAGCCGTCTGCAAGAGAGAAACAGTATCAGAGTGTATGACCTTCTAAACAATATCAGTGTGATGGATGACCTTTGAAACAATATTAGTGTTGCGTATGATCTACACAATATTGTTTGACATATGATCTAAACAATATCAGTGTGATGCACGACAGACACATTATTTTGCTACGTGTAAAAAAAGTAAAACGAATCCCCCATTATCAAGCTAACAAAGGAACAAACAGATCGTGCACAATGACCCAGCTCCTGAAGGTAAGGAAGAAAATTGTTGTTAAGAACACAGTGACTGGATCCTGGGGAGCCTTAAAGAGAAGCCTCTACTTTACACCCTGAGAGAACAACATTCCAAAATGCCAACACTGGACAGTATTGAGATTATAACAAATACACACCTGACATCCTTATCAATCTGCATTAGAACTTCATTGTCCTTGAAGAATGATCCCCACTGAGAATCTGGGTTGGGATTTAGGGGATGATCATCCACATGGTTGTTTCCACTGCCGTTCTTACTCAGTCTGGCTGGCTCAACTACCATCTCCTCTACAACAGTCACACAATATAGGATTCAGGCGATGAGTCACAATAACGTGGCTGAAGAATGTTGACCAGACCACACTAGAAGGTGAAGGGACGACGACGTTTCGGTCCGTCCTGGACCGTTTGAAGTCGATTCTCAAGACAATCGACTTGAGAACGGTCCAGGACGGACCGAAACGTCGTCGTCCCTTCACCTTCTAGTGTGTGGTCTGGTCAACAATATAGGATTCACTTAACTGAGAATGCATGAAACATTATATACTGTACATACAAACATCCTCCTCCGCCAAGCAATATAGTCTTTGCATCGTGAATACATTTAAATTCTCCGTTGATATTTTTCTACATAATCGGCAGCTTTTCAATTGTGCAGTATATAAGGCACCCTGCCCAATATTCTTAATGCACTATTCATCTGACCATTATTTTTCTGTTCATTTACACAATATTTTTTAATCTTAAATTACATTTTATATCAAACAAGATGCAAAGAAAATTCCACTTAATCAAACTAGTGTTAAGAATCTTTTGACACTTTCTGGCAAATAATCCACTTCTAAATTTCTCAACAGAAAAGCCTTAAATCCTACAAATAGCCCCAAATAAGAAAAGACTAAGGGGAAAGCAGGTAACAAAGCTTTAGTGAATTCTTTAGCTGTCTTAGTACAGTATTTTATTAAATAAAAAATTGTCTGAAGTTCAAGACACAACACCTGCAACAACAATGTTAACATTGAGCAAATTCTGGATAAATTTAAAACTCTTGCAAGAAAAAGAAACTAAGAGCACAATTTATATGCTAGCTTCTAGTCGACTTTATTCCTCATAATGGAAGGCATTTCAATCAGAGCCATGAGACATACCATGGTGTGCCAAGATGTGCGAGTGTCTGTGTTAGTCTGTGTAGTCTGCGTTACTACCATGTGGCAACACAGATCATAACTGGGTTAGAGGAGCTGGCAGCTCTCGCTCGTAGCCTGGCAGTACACCTTCATGTACCATTCTGCAAAGGGCACTTTGGTTATGGTAACTAAGCAGTCCCCGTGGCTCAGTGGTAAAACACTCACCCGGCGCTTCGCGACAATTTGGCCTGGGTTCCTATCCTGGCCGGGAAGGATTGACCAGGTGCCAATCCTTAACTGTAGCCTCTGTTCATAGCAGTGAATAGGTACCTGGTTGTTTAACGATTTGGCGGGTCGTATTCCGGGGAAAATTAGAATTAGGGACCCGCCAGAAACACTGTGTGTGCTAGTGGCTTTACAAGAATGCAAGAACTTATGTACATATAAATAAAATAAACAAAAATATTTGTATACAGTATCAAACTTTTTTTTAATTTTTAAAGTTAGCTATAAATAACAGTGCTATAGAAACAATACTAACCAACAAAATGGCGATATTGAGCTCTCTTTTTATTTAGTGTGTCATTCCACTGGATGGTATCAAGGGGAAGATAATGCAGCAACAACTTCCAGCACAGTGCTCTTCGGCCGCCTTCATCAGGAGCTCCTGTTCAGCAAGCAGTAAAGTACAAAAAAACTAATGAGAGCCTCTAAGAAACTTAATTTTTTAGACAAAAAAGAGTAACATAAAATAAAATTATAGAAAACAGCAAAGGCCTGTTGCCCCATATGAGGTAACCTCTATTTATACGAACTCAAACTCACTCATATCTAACCTGCAATTGAGATAATCCAGCGATTCTATTACGTACCTGGTAATTTGTTCCATAAATCTACAACACTACCTGTATTTAGAACCAGTATTTAGCCAGGGCTTTTTGTAAATCTAAACTTACCCAATTTGTATCCATTGTTTCACATTATATTTTGTGTAGATACACAGTACAGTACTGTACTTAAAACCCTATTTAATCCCACTTCGTTATACCCATTTATCCATTTAAACAATTCAGTCATTATCAAACACTACCAATTACCACGTAACATGGTGGAGGTGGGGTCCCTCGATTGTTTCAAACGTGGGTTGGACACGCATACAAGTGGGATTAGGTGGTTATAAATAGGAGCTGCCTTGTATAGGCCAATAGGCCTTCTGCAGTTACCATGTTCTTATGTTCTTAATACAGTAGTATATAATGTAACCACACTCCCACCAGTTTGTCATAAGAGTGCAACAGAATAACAATAACCCAGCCAAATAAGAAAGCTACATTACTTTTTCTCCTAAATCACTGTGTATAGTTAGCATTAAGTATCACTAGTAAACTGTGTATCATTTGCTAAACTTTCTTACAATTATTTGCATGTTAACTTACATCACAGAGTAAGCAACACGTATTGCACATAAAAATGCATTAATTAATACACACAATAGTCTTAAGGTACTCACCTAGTCGTGCTTGCAGGGGTCGAGCTTTGGCTCTTTGGTCCCGCCTCTCAACTGTCAATCAACTGGTGTACAGATTCTTGAGCCTATTGCTCAATAGATATGCCAGAAATGCTGCACATTATAAGTAGGTTTATAGGAAATACAAATAGACTACTAAGTAATCACTGTAAGTAGAACTTCTGTTTTTTTTTTAAATAAAATATTATTATTACTATTATAAACAAATTAGTGCTGTATCATATGTATATTCAAAACAATAACAGATATACATATTTGTTATGATAATGATAGTGTTTATTTAGGGAAAAGTACATACAAAATGCATTACAAGCAGAATGTTGGATTTCTAGATAGAGCTAGTATATACTATGCCTAAACCCACCAATATGTACAACGTTTTGGGCAACACACGGAAAAAGCACACTTAAAAAATGACTTAAATAAAAATAACTGACAGTCTCCGTGGTGTAGTGGTAAGACACTCGCCTGGCGTTCCGCGAGCGCTATGTCATGGGTTCGTATCCTGGCCGGGGAGGATTTACTGGGCGCAATTCCTTAACTGTAGCCTCTGTTTAACGCAACAGTAAAATGTGTACTTGGATGAAAAAACGATTCTTCGCGGCAGGGGATCGTATTCCAGGGACCATAGGATTAAGGACTTGCCCGAAACGCTACGCGTACTAGTGGCTGTACAAGAATGTAACAACTCTTGTATATATCTCAAAAAAAAAAAAAAAAAAAATAAACAAGTATAATTAAATTATCATTATTACCTATTATCATTGCCTACCTATTATCACTTATTATTACTTACCTATTACTATCTACTATTAACAATAGTACTTACCCATTGTTATTTGGGTATAAGTAAACTTGACATACTATACAATTTCTGTACCTACTAATTGACCACTGTAACATGTTCCTATGCACATTTCATAAATACAATTATTATTTATTATTATTAATTATTATTATATGCCTTCCACCCAGCTTGTGGCAGCAGACTCGGGTAAACCTTGAGACAAAATCATAATAACTAACCCCCCAAAAGACCCAATGGAGTACAGGAAGCTTGAGAATAGGCTTCCCAGAACCTGTAAAAACAAAATAAAATACAAAACCTCCCCCCAAAACACCTGTAACACACCAAAAAAAGCCTGTAACACAATACGGTTCAACACACACACATATATACGCCCCCCTAAGAAGAGTTGCTCAATCGGGCATTCACTTACCACTGAAACACAGCTTCCGCACTCTCTCTATGTCAATCACCTTGGCGTTCAAGACGGTGTCAAACTCCAGCAACCTGCGAATACGAATGACACTCAGAGCCGGGCCTCAGGGAGGAGATATAAGGAGGGGAAGGTACACAAAAACCAAGGGAGCCATTGTTTACCTCGCTTTGTATGCAGCCATGATTTCCTCTGATGATGTTATTCTCTCCCCAGCACCTGACATTGATGGCTGGTTCTGGTCCAGTGATTCACATCTCATACGCAGTTGTTAAAATGCTTGTTATTTATGGGGTAATTAGGGACACAAATTCATATGCTACATGGGGTAAGAGAGGATGAATAACAAAGAGTTAATACAGTTTTTTGTTCGATGTTTTGCTTCTCTAACGCAGCATTAAACGCCACAAGCGACCAATCCTTGTGGCGAACGAACATTAACACTATCACTAGTAATAGTGTAATATCATTATCATCATCATCGACGTCGTCACCATCATAATAATAACAAAACTACTACTACTACTAATAATAATAATAAAATACTAATAATAATAATAATAATAATAAGGTAGCAGCCACAGACTGACGATTTAAATGTGAGCACAGCATGCAGTACAGTATATCCTTTCACGACCACAAAGATCACATTAACTCCAAAAAAATCTTCCACTTACGGGCTATTCATGCCCGTGCCACCTCTTGGGTGGCTTAATCTTCATCAATAAGCAGTTACAGCCCCGCTCCTGTGCCAAGAACGGTTGAGGGCCACAGGGACCAGGCATGACAGTCTGCTCTCAGCAAAACTTTTAAATTACTGAACAATTTGGAAGATATTAATCGAGAACACTTCTTCAAAAGGCTAGATGTAAGACGAACAAGGAACAACGGTTTCGAGCTCAAGTCACACTGAAGGATGGAAAATATTTGTTTTCACCCATAGAATTATAAAGTTGTGGAAACGCATACCCGCCGAAGTCGTAAATGCCAAAACATTGCTCGATAAAATCCCAAAACAAAAGGGAGGGGCCTTCGACAAGCCAGACAACCTTGTCCTCGTCGAGACCACTAGAGAGAGAGATACCTGAATTTGCCCGAGGGCCACCCTCGAGTAAATTCATGGAAACCATGGAACCACCTTCCCGACGAAGCCGTAAATGATAATTCGTTCCCTATCACCTAATGCATCTGTTTCCCTAGCAGTACATAGGCACCCGGGAGTTAGTCAACTGTTGCGGGGTTGCATCCAGGGAAGGGTCACCAGTCCGACGTTATAGACCTTGATATGTCAAACGTACGTGACCATTAACTTCCTAAGGTGTAGTGACAAGAGGGGGGTAGAAATAGCCTAAGCTACTTTATCCCTTTGAGATGTATTTCTTTCTTAGTCTCAATAAACATACTTGAACTTGAACTTGGAAGACGAGAAAATTAATCTCCCTCACACAGAACAACTTCTGTCTTCTGAATACATACTTCACTGTACACAACCTGCTCTGACAAGGCAAAGTTACAAACTTATTGATCAAAACAGCACCACAAAAAAGTACTTAATAGCCAAATAATGTGAACTAACAATATAAACTCAGGTCCGGTGCTGGTGAAGACGAATATTTTTTACTAAACCAATTTCAGACGATCTTCTCCAACAAAGGCAAAATGTAGCTGGAATTGTGTGGTTGTAGTGAGAGCGAGCGTAAGATAAGACAATCAGCCAGCACCCTCCCTACTCCCCCAGGTCACTTGTGAGACCAAAGGTCACGTCTTGACCCTCAGCATCATCAGGTGATCTCTCCCACCTCCCACAACAACTCTTCCCAACTTGGAATGCTTCCCATCTTAGAATAGGCCCCGTCGACATTGGAAATATGAGCGAATACATTGTTTTAATTTCCGGACACTGTAGGTAAACTTATAATATTTAGTTTTACTTATCATTATTAGGTTTTGTTTCAAATTACATTATTTTGTGGAGCAAAAGTAATCAAAAACAAAAATTGAAAACATTAATCCACGCAAATAATCATAAGTTTCGTGATTTAATAGTATTAAATCATTCGTAAAATGCAAACTAATTGATTTACTATAATTATTATAATACGTATTAACTTTACCATAGTTACAGGAGACTGAATAATTTGATTTCTGCAAATGAAATTTATCTGAGGGGTCACTGACATATATTGGTCTCGACGAAAGAAAGGATTAGTAGAAATTCTAAGAGAGAATCAAATAGTTTCCGACTTTCATATTATTTCACCTGTCAGCTAATGATATTAGGTGAACATGCTTGTGCTTTAATTTTATTTAGTAGCCCCTCATATATAATATGGTATTAGTAGTAGAAGTAGTACATTGTACTACCTAAGCTTTTAATCAAAACAAAATGCATAAATTCACTACACAATTGAGGTTCTAATTTGCGTCTTATTTCATTGTAAAAGGAGTTAATTTCCAAACAGGGTTGTATAAATAAATCTTATCTTATCTTTGCATTCAATTTTGTACGGTAATTTTTCAAACTTAAAATGTAAATTGCTATATATATATACCCCCTCTAAATGAAAAATGGCCTAATTTAACATATGTGCTAAAAATATTAACATAAATAATTCGTTTGTTAGATAACAAGATATTCATAGCAATAAGGTTTCTTGGAATGGCCTATAATGCACGCAAATACCAGTTTACGCACTTTTCGGGTAGTACGCCTGGAATTTCAAAATGGCGTTCAAACGGCGGTTGGTGGTTGAAGGCTCAGGCCGCTCAGTATTGTCGGTGCCGCCAACGCGACAACATGTACCGCTGATTTCCGACATCAACAACCAGGTAAGAGTGATAATTCTTTTTGACATATTTATATCTTATATATACACAGTATATAGAATTATATAATATAATGGGGTTTTGCGTATGGAGTTTGCTTCGAACAATGCCTATCAATGTTTTTTTTTTTTTTTTTTTTTTTTTTTTTTTTTGAGATATATACAAGAGTTGTTACATTCATGTACAGCCACTAGTACGCGTAGCGTTTCGGGCAGGTCCCTGGAATACGATCCCCGCCGCGAAGAATCGTTTTTTCATCCAAGTACACATTTTACTGTTGCGTTAAACAGAGGCTACAGTTAAGGAATTGCGCCCAGTAAATCCTCCCCGGCCAGGATACGAACCCATGACATAGCGCTCCGGGGCTTAGTGTCCCCGCGGCCCGGTCGTCGACCAGGCCTCCTGGTTGCTGGACTGATCAACCAGGCTGTTGGACGCGGCTGCTCGCAGCCTGACGTATGCGTCACAGCCTGGTTGATCAGGTATCCTTTGGAGGTGCTTATCCAGTTCTCTCTTGAACACTGTGAGGGGTCGGCCAGTTATGCCCCTTATGTGTAGTGGAAGCGTGTTGAACAGTCTCGGGCCTCTGATGTTGATAGTTCTCTCTGAGTACCTGTTGTACCTCTGCTGGGCGGTAGTGGAAAGGGTTACAGAGGCACATAATGGGCTCAGGGACTGAACCCCACAATTCATTTAGCTAAGCAAGTTACAATCTTGGTGAGCTAGTTACAAAATTCAATATAAGTCGTCACATCAACAATGGGTTCGAGATCGACCTCAAGTACAGGTTCTAAATTAAGCACCTGACATATGTGGAGAGCTAGTGTCACAATTTATGTTTGTCCTGCACACCGCCCCCCATCCAGTGGGCAGCGGTGGATAGGTTACAATCACTCGGTTACTACCTACAGTTAGCAGACTGGGGATATTTGGCTAAAATTTCTGGTAGCAGATCAGGTCCCCCATTTGTTCCGATTTTTTTTCAAATTGGATTTTACAATTCAAGTGTTATGTTATTTACTGCTTTAGCAGATAGGCGGTTCCATGGGTTTATAACCCTGTGGGTGAAAATATAGCTTATGTTTTCAGTCCTACACTGCGGCTTGTTGGACTTGAAACCGTTGTTCCTTGTTTGTGTTCCATCTGACCTTTTGAAGTTGTTCTCTGGATCCATATCTTCGAAACTGTTCAATATTTTAATAGGCAGGCGACGAGTCACAATAACGTGGCTGAAGTATGTTGACCAGACCACACACTAGAAGTTGAAGGGACGACGAGTTTCGGTCCGTCCTGGACCATTCTCAAGTCGATTCAAGTCGATATTTTAATAGTTTCGGTGAGATCCATCCTGGCATGCCTAGTTTGCAGTGTTGTTAGCCCTGTGACCCTCAACCGTTCATGGTATGAAACTAGACCTCATTCTGCAATTATTTTTGTCGCCTGGTGTTCAATTTTCTCCATGAAAGGTTGGGCGCGGGGTGGGTTCTCTGTCGGCCTCCAAGTGGGTTCTCTGTCGGGCTCCAAGTGGGTTCTCTGTCGGGCTCCAAGTGGGTTCTCTGTCGGGCTCCAAGTGGGTTCTCTGTCGGGCTCCAAGTGGGTTCTCTGTCGGGCTCCAAGTGGGTTCTCTGTCGGGCTCCAAGTGGGTTCTCTGTCGGGCTCCAAGTGGGTTCTCTGTCGGGCTCCAAGTGGGTTCTCTGTCGGGCTCCAAGTGGGTTCTCTGTCGGGCCCCAAGTGGGTTCTCTGTCGGGCCCCAAGTGGGTTCTCTGTCGGGCCCCAAGTGGGTTCTCTGTCGGGCCCCAAGTGGGTTCTCTGTCGGGCCCCAAGTGGGTTCTCTGTCGGGCCCCAAGTGGGTTCTCTGTCGGGCCCCAAGTGGGTTCTCTGTCGGGCCCCAAGTGGGTTCTCTGTCGGGCCCCAAGTGGGTTCTCTGTCGGGCCCCAAGTGGGTTCTCTGTCGGGCCCCAAGTGGGTTCTCTGTCGGGCCCCAAGTGGGTTCTCTGTCGGGCCCCAAGTGGGTTCTCTGTCGGGCCCCAAGTGGGTTCTCTGTCGGGCCCCAAGTGGGTTCTCTGTCGGGCCCCAAGTGGGTTCTCTGTCGGGCCCCCCGTGGGTTCTCGGTCGGGGCTCCGGGGTGGGTTGTCGGTCGGGGCTCCGGGGTGGGTTGTCGGTCGGGGCTCCGGGGTGGGTTGTCGGTCGGGGCTCCGGGGTGGGTTGTCGGTCGGGGCTCCGGGGTGGGTTGTCGGTCGGGGCTCCGGGGTGGGTTGTCGGTCGGGGCTCCGGGGTGGGTTGTCGGTCGGGGCTCCGGGGTGGGTTGTCGGTCGGGGCTCCGGGGTGGGTTGTCGGTCGGGGCTCCGGGGTGGGTTGTCGGTCGGGGCTCCGGGGTGGGTTGTCGGTCGGGGCTCCGGGGTGGGTTGTCGGTCGGGGCTCCGGGGTGGGTTGTCGGTCGGGGCTCCGGGGTGGGTTGTCGGTCGGGGCTCCGGGGTGGGTTGTCGGTCGGGGCTCCGGGGTGGGTTGTCGGTCGGGGCTCCGGGGGGGGTTGTCGGTCGGGGCTCCGGGGTGGGTTGTCGGTCGGGGCTTCGGGCTCCGGGGTGGGTTGTCGGTCGGGGCTCCGGGGTGGGTTGTCGGTCGGGGCTCCGGGGTGGGTTGTCGGTCGGGGCTCCGGGCAGGCTTTAGGTACTCAACTGGCGGGCTCTGGGTGGGTGACTGTTCGGGCTCCAGGTGGGTGTCTGTCCGGCTTCGGGTGGGTTCTTGGTAGGGCTTGGGGGGTGTGGGTTCTTGGTAGGGCTTGGGGGGGTGTGGGTACTTGGTAGGGCTTGGGGGGGGGTAAGGGTACTTGGTAGGGATTGGGGGGGTGTGGGTTCTTGGTAGGGCTTGGGGGGGTGTGGGTTCTTGGTAGGACTTGGGGGGGGGTGGGTTCTTGGTAGGGCTTGGGGGGGTGTGGGTTCTTGGTAGGGCTTGGGGGGGTGTGGGTTCTTGGTAGGGCTTGGGGGGGTGTGGGTTCTTGGTAGGGCTTGGGGGGTGTGTGGGTTCTTGGTAGGGCTTGGGGGGTGTGGGTTTTGGTAGGGCTTGGGGGGGTGTGGGTACTTGGTAGGGCTTGGGGGGTGTGGGTTCTTGGTAGGGCTTGGGGGGTGTGGGTTCTTGGTAGGGCTTGGGGGGGGTGTGGGTTCTTGGTAGGGCTTGGGGGGGGGGTTCTTGGTAGGGCTCGGGGGGTGTGGGTTCTTGGTAGGGCTCGGGGGGGTGTGGGTTCTTGGTAGGGCGGGGGGTGTGGGTTCTTGGTAGGGCTCGGGGGGGTGTGGGTTCTTGGTAGGGCTCGGGGGGGTGTGGGTTCTTGGTAGGGCTCGGGGGGGTGTGGGTTCTTGGTAGGGCTCGGGGGGTGTGGGTTCTTGGTAGGGCTCGGGGGGGTGGGGGGGGTTCTTGGTAGGGCTCGGGGGGGTGGGGTTCTTGGTAGGGCTCGGGGGGGTGTGGGTTCTTGGTAGGGCTCGGGGGGGTTTCTCTGTAGGGCTCGGGGTGGGTTCTTGGTAGGGCTCGGGGTGGGTTCTCGGTAGGGCTCGGGGCGGGCTCCAGGTACTCAACTGACGGGTTCCAGTTCACTCAACTGGCGGGCTCCGGTTCACTCAACTGGCGGGCTCCGGTTTATTAAACTGGCGGGCTCCGGGTGTTTGACTGGTCGGGCTCCGGGTGGGTGACTGTTCGGGCTCCAGGTGGGTGTCTGTCCGGCTTCGGGTATGTTCTTGGTAGGGCTTCGGGGTGGGTTCTTGGTAGGACTTAGGGTTGGCTCCCGATCAGGCTCAGGGTGGGCTCTTTCGGGTTCGGGATGGGCTCTCGGGCTTGGGGTACCTCTGTAGGGCTCGGGGTAGGTTCTTGGTCGGGCCCAGGGTGGGTTCTCTGTAGGGCTCAGGGTGTTTTCATGGTAGGACTAGGGGTGGGTTCTCTGTAGGGATCAGGGTGGGTTCTCGGTAGGGCTCTGGGTGGGTTCTCGGTCGGGCTCGGGGCGGGCTCCAGGTACTCAACTGACGGGTTCCAGTTCACACAACTGGCGGGCTCCGGTTCACTCAACTGGCGGGCTCCGGTTTACTAAACTGGCGGGCTCCGGGTGTTTGACTGGTCGGGCTCCGGGTGGGTGACTGTTCGGGCTCCAGGTGGGTGTCTGTCCGGCTTCGGGTGGGTTCTCGGTAGGGCTTGGGGGTGGGGGTAGGGCTTGGGGGTGGGTTCTCGGTAGGGCTTGGGGCTGGGTTCTCGGTAGGGCTTGGGGCTGGGTTCTCGGTAGGGCTTGGGGCTGAGTTCTCGGTAGGGCTTGGGGCTGGGTTCTCGGTAGGGCTTGGGGCTGGGTTCTCGGTAGGGCTTGGGGCTGGGTTCTCGGTAGGGCTTGGGGCTGGGTTCTCGGTAGGGCTTGGGGCTGGGTTCTCGGTAGGGCTTGGGGGGTGGGTTCTCGGTAGGGCTTGGGGGTGGGTTCTCGGTAGGGCTTGGGGGGGTTTCTCGGTAGGGCTCGGGGTGGGCTCTTTCGGGATCGGAATAGGCTCTCGGGCTTGGGGAACCTCTGTAGGGCTCGGGGTAGGTTCTTGGTCGGGCTCAGGGTGGGTTCTCGGTAGGGCTCGGGGCGGGCTCCAGGTACTCAACTGACGGGTTCCAGTTCACTCAACTGGCGGGCTCCGGTTCACTCAACTGGCGGGCTCCGGTTTACTAAACTGGCGGGCTCCGGGTGTTTGACTGGTCGGGCTCCGGGTGGGTGACTGTTCGGGCTCCAGGTGGGTGTCTGTCCAGCTTCGGATGGGTTCTTGGTAGGGCTTGGGGTGGGTTCTTGGTAGGTATTAGGGCAGGGTTCTTGGTAGGGCTTTGGGGGTGGGTTCTTGGTAGGGCTTGGGGGTGGGTTCTTGGTAGGGCTTGGGGGTGGGTTCTTGGTAGGGTTTGGGGTTGGCTCCCGGTCAGGCTCGGGGTGGGCTCTTTCGGGATCGGGATAGGCTCTCGGGCTTGGGGAACCTCTGTAGGGCTCGGGGTAGGTTCTTGGTCGGG